TCTTTCCTGGACATCTTTCCCTGACTCCCTTCCCTTCCCCCTTCCCCCTTCCCCTTTCCCCCTTCCCCCTTCTCCCTTAGCTTCCCTCCCTTCCATCTTTCCCTTCGTGGACATCTTTCCCTTCCTGAGGGAAAGGTGCCCCGTGCGAAATAAATCTGTGTCCCACTGAGAATTCCATCTGTGCCTCGGTGCCTTCATTCATCCACTCGTGCTCTCCATCCGCCCACTCGCTCCCGCCCATTCTCTACCTATCACTTAGAGCCATATAAATGATGCCTAGTAAGGGTGCTACCCAGGCAGCCCATGCAAGAACTCTCTCCAGCTTTGTCTATGAAGCCTCCCTCTCCAATCTCTCTTATTTCCCCATGTTTCTTTTACATCTAGAACTGAGATGGCATCGAGAATATACTCAGTAAATTCTTGTTAAATGAAGGTAACAATTAGTGAAAATGTTTGAAATCTTACCTATTTGTCATAGACCCTCCTTCAAGAATGCATCTCCCACTTCCTTAGTGAGCTGAGCCCTTTCATCTCCGGATCCACACTGTATCCTTATGGCCCCTATCACAGGACTATCCAGCTGCTGCCTTGACTAAGACTCTTTTTTTTTTTTTTTTTTTTTTGGTCTTTTTGAGACAGGGTCTCCCTGTAGCCCCAGCTGTCCTGGAACTCACTATGTAGACCAGGCTGGCCTTGAACTCAGAGATCCGCCTGCCTCTGCCTCCCGAGTGCTGGGATTAAAGGCGTGCACCACACGCCTGGCTCTAAGAGTCATTTTTAAAAGAATTTTGTGATCTGGGTAGGGGATTAAAATACATTCTGTAGAAAGTAAACTGGTAGAAAGAGTGTTATTTGGAGTCAAATGATTTGGTTTGAATCCTCTGCTATTTACAATTTAGGAGATCAGTTTACTAAAGCCATGCTTTTGTCCTTTCTGCAAATGTCAGCTATTATGAACTATAGTAAAGTTTGACGTATGGTATTACCAAGTACAGACTAGTGCTTAACTCAGAGAAGGTTAGTGACTACTCTGTCCTGCGTAGGTATCCCAAACATCTACAGAGCTTTATCCATTCTACCTTCCTGGTCCCTCCTCCTAGTACACAATCCAGTGGGTCTGAGTGGGGCAGAGCACCTGACCTTGAGAAAGCCCCCGGTCATTCTACTGGATCAAAGTGCAGAATCCACAGAAGAGCCTCATACACATGACCATGGTTTAGATTTGAGGAGTGAATGGCTTCTTAAAAGTGCCTAGGAATGAGTGAGCACCTGTCCTGTACCTCTCTTTGGATCCCAGCCCTCCCCACATCTGCATTATTCTATGTCTGATAATATTGCCTTTCCATTGTCTGTATCAGTCTCCTCTGCATGCAAGTCCTTCCCTCTTTCTGTCACTCTGGTTCTTAGACATAACCCCTTATACAACACTAATGAAAGTGTTAAGCCACAATTCAATACTTTTGCAAACTGGCCATAGGGATCTCAGGGGCAGTAAACTATGTACAGTAGCTCCATTGCCCCATTAGCCAGGCTGCCCTAAGTACTGCAGAAAGCATCATGATTAAACATCTCCCATCACCCTAGAGCACCAGCGCTCCTCAAAATCATGATTAACACCCACTCCCATGCAGCAGCAATTGTATGAACAGGGCCACAAGTACCTGGGAAGTTGGCAAATAATGTTAGTTATCACAAAAGGGACACAACGTATGGGCATCTGCAAAGAGTAACTTCTCAGTATCATCATGCAGTGACTTTCAAGAGAGGGAAAAGCACCATCATACAACACTCAGTGGGCACTTCATTAATAAAGCCCTTCACCTGAGAGGCAGGATTAAGTAGAGGAGAGAGGAGGGAGAGGGAATGCCAGGTCCTTGTAAATTCCACTTCACTGAATTCTCACAGCAACCCCGTGAAGTAGATGGTATTATGACCACTTGTCAATTAGGGAACCAAGGCACAGAGGTGGCACAGCGTACATAATGCTACATCTGTGCTAAGTGTTGAGGGCCAGATCTAAACACTTCTAGGTGGCTCAGAATGCAAAGATTTCCCCCATCTCAAGAATCCCAGCAGGGAAAAAAAAAAAGATGAAGATTGCATCCCAACTTCTCAGGCTAGCAAATCATTTAATCATTTCCAGACTCGGTCTGTATATTCAATGAAAGCATTTTCTACAGACTTATGTTCAGACTTCTGTGAGAAATGCATAAAGGAATGAATGGTAACAATGCTGAAGATCCATATGTCATCACAAAGATATCAAAACCGTAATTAGAATGTATCTGTCTTAAACTCGGTTCAACCTTACAGAACGATGTGTCAGAAGTGAGCCTCTTCTCCGGGTTTCACATTATGAATGTGTTCTAGGATTTACTTTGTGTTGCTAGTCAACTAGGTGCTTTTTAAAATTTTTAACAGTGATCATAAAAGAATATTATCATGTCAGATGTCAGATCTTCATTTCCAAACTGTATCTGTCTCGCATCTCAACTTTGATAAAGAGTTAGTGCTTGTCTTAGCTACTTTCTATTGTTATGTATGTACCATGACCAAAGTCAACTTAGGAGAAGAAAGAGTTTATTTTATCTGTTTTATCTTACATCTCTAGGGTAACAGTTCATCACTGAGGGAAGTCAGGTCAGGAACTCACAGCAGGAACCTGGAGGTCGAAGTTGAAGGCCATTGAGGAACGATGTTCAATGACTTGCTTCTCTGGACTATGCCTAGCCTGCTTTCTTATATAACCCAGGACCACCTACCTAGGATTGGGAACACCCACAATGGGCTGAGTCACCCCCTATCACCCAACAATCAAGAAAATGCCTCACAGTCATGCCCACAGGCATCCAATAGAAGCAATTCCCCAACTGAGGTTTCCTCTCCCCAAGTGTGTCAGATAGACAACTGAAGCTATCTAGCACAGTGCCTCACTGTGGTTGCTTGCACTGGGCCTGCACAAGCCTGGCCTTATCATTAGTCCACCATAGACTGGGGAGGGTCTCCCAGGACCCTATTCTTCCCTACTGAACTATTAGCTACTGGTGGAATTCTGGGGCATGGAAATCATTATTTTGACTTCTATACCCATGGGTGAGCCACCAGGCTTCAATGGACAGTTCCAAACCCATGGTCATACCGACGGATGTAGTTAAGCTCCGTGGGTTACAAAACAAAACAAAATGACATAAATGTAAGAAAGGGGCATGTAGAGAAGAAGGAGGGTCAACAGGGATTGGGGAAGATAGGGAAGTGTGGGAGGCAAGAACCAGCATGCATCATACACATGTATGAAACTGTCAAAGAACCAATCTAACAAAAATTGTTTTTTTTTTAAAAAACAAAAACAAGATGATCAGAGTCTCTCCTGCATTTGCTGGTTCAATAACTGCAGCAGATTCTTCCCATCAGCCAAACTCAGAACCTAGGCATCTCAGTGAGGCCCTCTTTCTGCCCTCTCCATTAGATGCCAGTTCTATGAATCTTCTCCCCAGCATACCTTCTCATCAGAACCCTGCAGGAGCTTCCTCAACAGACCACTTTGTCACCTCCCTTGGTCCCACAATTCACTGTCCAAACTACAGCTGGAGTGATATTTCAAGCTGTGAATCAGTCTGTGTCACTCCTCTACTTAGTGCCACTTAGTGGCTTCTAGTTATAGTTGGAATTAAATTAAAATATCATTGATGCAATATCGATCTACATGTCCCTCCTCCTTGTCTGTTACCATTCCCATTTTTGCCACACTCTGGTTACGTCCTTGCTCAATTCTGCCATGTATGCATTACCTATTTCTTCTTTCTGGACTTCTCTTTGTCATATGTGGAACTGGCTCATACAAATACATAGGTCTCACATCAGTTCCAAGAAAATCATTCATCGGTCCGAATCAATCACGTCACCAATCATCTCATTCTTTCATCACACTCCCTTCTTCCATGTTATTCACCACATCAATGTGTATAAATGTGTCTGGGAATGTAATATGGAGTCTGTTTTCCTTATTAAAATGTAAGCTCCATAACAGCAAGAACACATCCACAAGTACTCAACAGGCACGTGCACAAAATGAGACCAAGCTAGCAGTTCCTCCAGAAGTCCATCTTTCTAAGAGGCCCAAGGATTCTGTATCTCCACTCCCAGCCCATTACCGACTCAGTGGTCATCCTAACAAGCCTGACCCTCTTCTTGCTTCTTCTAGGAGCGACTCGTGCTGTCTGTTCTCCCCAGGTTTGTGGTCCTGGAAATGATCAATGACATGACCAATGTGGAGGACGAGCACCTGCAGCATCAGTTCCATCGCATCTATATTCATCGCTATGAGAATGTCAGGTGAGAAATGCGACACCCCACTCCAGTCTCCCCATGATCTGCATGTGTGCCTATCACTCCCACCACACTGCTGTGACTGCTGTCTGCCTGAATGTTGGCATAGTTCTTTGTTCACCTGGTTATTCCATTAACTATGGATAATTCATCAGAGAGGTCTTTATTTCCAAGTGAAGGCTGGAGAACAATGTCAGAAAATTCTATTGTAGCTGCTGACTGATTTGTTGCATGAATCCGCTACAATAAGCTTGCTGTATTTTAAGTCCAAAATCCTTTTAGATTATGATAGAAAAATAATCCCAATATGCCATCTGGAGACTTCAGTTATAATGCCTTACACCTCCTCCATACATTCCTCATAAGCATCTTGAAATCAACATGAAGAAGGCTGCAGTTTCACTTCCTTTGCAAACATTCTGCTGGTCATCCATCCATTCACTGATATAGCCACCCACTCAGTCATCCATTCAGTCCTCCAACCTTTCATGCCTTCAGGCTCTTACCCCCCGATCTGCTCATCCATATATTCATATTCTTACCCACCCATCTACCATCCAACTTGTTTATCAGTACTTCTTTATGTCCAGCACTACAGTGTACATGGCAAATACTGAAAGTCAAAGGAAAGAGTCCGTAGTCATGAGGACCAGCTTTCAGATCTTAATTTTTACTCTCCCTTGTGTGTGGCCTTGAACAAATCACTTATGTGGATTTCCATACCCTTCTTTGTAAAATGAGTGTTTTAACAGCTACCTTGCAGAGCTTTCTATAGATTACCTGAATGGAGACAGAGACATAAAACACCAACTTAAGTGTCTGGTGCAGCATCAGGCACATTATAGATTATTTTGGAAAAGTTTCCTAGTTGCAGACAATCAGTCCTTACTGATTTATAAGAAATGTACTAAGAGGCAGTTTGGCAGCTCACAGAATTAACTGGCGAAGGCAGAGAAGCAGACTGGGGAGTAGGGCTGGAAGGAAGAAAAAGGCCGCAGAGCCAGACAGCCAAAAACCACAGCCCAGCAGTGCGCCGTGCAGGGTGCCACTGCCACAGCCTCTGAACAGACAGACCACGGCCCTGACTTTGCTTCACCTCAGTTTCTGCTCCTCTGGCGTCTTTGCCTCTCGGGTTAAAGCCTGAGGCACGTGTACCTGATTGGCTGAACCTACTTATTTTCTAGAACAGCCAGAAGAGCAAGAATCCAGCATTTTCAGAGTAGGATTGTATTTTCCTCCTACCAAATATCATAAGGTGGAAATATCTCAAGCATTTGGATAAAAATGCCTAAGTGATGGGCTCCTAAAATGAAAAATACACAGAGTAACAATTCTTAACAGCACCTGCCTTTGTTTTGTGCCTGGCCTGCAGGACACACAATTCAGTGTAATGCCCAGCAGACAGCTGATCTGACTCAGCCCTAAAAGATCTAAAGGAGCAACAGCAACATCCTTCATGTGGGTGCTGGAGTTTGCCAAGCACTCTTTTGTGAAACTATGACTCCAGTAAGACGTAAACCCAAATAGAAAATTGATTCTGAAAAAAAAAAGGAGCTCATCAATATTGCTTCCAGAGCATAGTGTCTATTAATCAGCACAGTGGGAAGTTTTACTCTTAAGTGTGAAAAATGTAGTTGATAATAATAAATATGAGGCAAGCCAGGAGCAGGGAAGCAGAGAGTGGAAAGGTGGCTGCAGTGGAAAGCAGCTTTTCTGGAAGAGATAGATGGCCCCTACTGGCCTTATCGGAGATGGGCTCAGCCAAATGAAACCAGCAAAGATATGAACTGTGAACCGAGGGGCTGCTCTAATGAAGGCTGAGCCTTGGTGTGTACAATGATAGCTGCTTTTACATGTTGCTTCACTTGTGGCAAAGTGGCTTGATGATGAGGACAGGCCCAGAGAGAAGAGAAATTGGATGGTCTTTTGGGGAGAAAATAAATAAGAAAATACAAAAAATTTTATGAATAAATATGTGTTTATGGATTATATATGTGACATATAAAAGTACCTGTCACCATGGAGAAAGAAGTAAGTGAAAACTACCTTTAAAAAGAAAAATAGGAGAAAATAAGCCCGAATACCTACACAGTCAGCCGTACTTGGCTTTCTTTCTGAATTAGACATTTTTGCTCTACTCTCTGTGTTCCATTAACAGCTCCTTACTTCTGCCCCCTCCTCTCCAACCCCAGTCATCTACCCAACCGTTCTCCAGAAGTTCACAGCTCTCTAAATGAGCATGTAGCTTCCTGCCCAGCATTCCCTGTGCTCTGGGTGACAGGAGCTAGGGGCCTTTAAGAGAAAGAAATCCTGTGGCATGTGGTCCCCAGCGTCTGCTCTGCTCAGAGTGGTGGCATGGAGATGTGGCAGCCTCAGGCTCCCGGTGCTGAGGAAAAGAAGTTGCCCAGCGTTGGAGGAGCCTCTCCTGCCTGCTGCTGAACTGCGGAGAGCTAACATAAGACCAGAAACAAGGAAAGCAGAGGAGGGTACTTCTTAGCCGGTGTCTGAGAACAAAGCCGGACCGGCTGCTGTGGCCCCTCTCCAGCCCAGAATCCACCCGCGGTTGGCGGCATTAGGAGCCTTTTTAAAATTACTTCCAACCTTGTCACCTTCTTCATAGCAACGTGCCCCGTTCATCTTTTCGTCTGTTTTTTCGTTTCTTTCGTTTTATTAGTGTGTTTGTTTTCCTTGATGACTCTTCCCTAAAAATCATTTCCTTTACATTCCTTAGCCTCCCTTTCAGGATGTGTAGTTTTGCTTCCTATGGGTAAAGGATGTGGTTTATTTCTACTGGAACCTGTAAATTTATGTCTAAAGTCAAGAGACCTTTTGACCTTGAGTCCAGCAACTGGGTAAAGCAGAAGGGTAAAGAATGTGAGCGGGACCCTGGGATCTGCCTTGAGGTTCTGGGATCAGAGCAACCCCAGGGAGAGCCCCATGATAGCCATGGTCATACTGTGAGGAAGGAAGACTTAATTCTGAATATGTCTGCTGATTGAACTCAGGAAACATGTAATGAAACCAGCTGTGTGATGGACAGGTAGGACCCAGGGGTGACTTTTGTTCTGTCTCTTAGCTCATAGATGGAGCCCACTGAGCCACATGTAAGTGCTGTCCTTAACTGACATGATGCAGGGCATGCAGGCTGGGCAGGGCACTAGAGGGGCATTCCTGTAAAAGTTCATTAGTAACATATGAGAGAGGTCATGCAGGACAAGCAGGAGTTCAAGAGAAAAGACCAAGCACTGCCAGGAAGCAGGTACAGTAGGCACAAAGACATGGGCATAAAATAGACCAAAGTTTCCAGGGAGGATATCCTGTTTGGAATCCCAGCCTTTCTTTCAGAAGTCCCTGGGTCACGTGGTAAGGGGAGTAGGGCAGTGACTTCTGACGATAACCCAGCTCTGCTGTTTGCCACCAAAATAGAGAGAATGCGGGCCCCACAGGGTAAGTGGGCAGATTGACCAAGGTAGGGCTCAAGTGGTGTCTGGCTTATAGAAGGCTTTTGAGGACTACCCCTTCCCTGAGCCTTATGCATAGAATGAGACCTCAGACACTGAAATACTTGGAAATTGTGAGTGTTTTAGGTAGTCATCCTGCCAAAGTCTCCCAATATTGCCACCTTGTCTACTCTCCTGCGTTGAGGTTAGAGCATATGTCACTGGGCTCAAAATAATGAGGTTTTGGCGCTCTCATCCCAAGTCTGTTTTATTCTGTTTTATTCCTTGTATCTACATTATTTTGCATTGTGAAAATAGAGATAAATCACAAAATTTCACTTTGCTTTTCATAGCAAATGAGCCTGTTCTGAGTGACCAGCACCCCCTCTGGAGTGGTTTATATCACTTCCACTCCACAGTCCTCTACAGAACCAGGACCATGGGTTTTCAGCCGTCCTTTTGTCATTCCTGATCTCTGAGTTGACTCTCTGTAGAGACAGTTAAACATCGCTCCTGACATCCCAGGCAGGGAAGCCGACATCTCAGACCACAGACATGGTTGATTTATCTGAATGGAGTTCGTCTCCCAGAACGGATTAAAATATTAATATGCCTTTTCCTACTCTTTCCTTCTCTGTTGTTTAGTATTCTTTTTGCAGATGTTAAAGGATTTACCAACCTCTCTACGACCTTGTCTGCTCAGGAGCTGGTCAGGATGCTCAACGAGCTCTTTGCCAGATTTGATCGGCTGGCCCATGTGAGTTGAATTTAATTCCCTTCTAGTCTTTTGCAGAATGAGGGACTGCATGCAGAATTAGGGAGGGAAAGGATTAAGCCTTCATCACCAATGCCATCACCGTTCTGCATCCTGTCCTCAGGCACAGACCCCTGATCCTCTCGCACCTGGGGATTAATGTTACTTATTAGTCTTGGGTGGGAGGTTTGTCAGATTAATTTTCCCAATTGAGAGACAGCTGGTTGAGTGATAGTAAAACTGGTCTTTCCAAGCAGCTCTCCACTCCCCATTCACGTGGCCAGGTGCCATCCAGCTGCAGTCTCAGAGCTGGTAGCAGTGCTGGCTGCAGTTTCTTAGCCAGAGCCAGCCATGTGCAATGAATTAGCCCATTCTCAAGAACTAATCATGCACGGGACTATTCCACCACTGTTTTGTTCGACCTAACTTGAGAGCTTTGTTTTTAGCCAACAAGACACTACCTTTATTTTTCAGCTGGCTTAATCATGGCTAAGCTAGAAAACAGAGGAAATGAGGTAGGCAGTTGCTATCAAAATACAGACTTGTATTCCTGAAGTCACAGAAGTTATGGAGGAATAACATTGTCATGCCACATTTAAGAGTGGGGCTTGGGTTCAAACAGGAATGACTACATTTCTGCTTTATAGAGTGCACAGAGAGGTACTGATTTCTAGGACCATAGTGAGAATTAAATAAAACTGCATCAAGTGGGAGTTCATTTTTAGACTGTCAAAGTTTTCCAATTCAAGACTGCCTCACTCCAGGACAGATCCTGTCATAGCCTCATCTGGGCAGCCCCTAGACACTGTGCTTGCCATTGTATCTTGGGAACATGAGAATGATGAAAACGTTATCTCCTTTCTGAAAAGTTAAGTCTGGTTGAGGATACAATAAACTCTGTGCACTGACAGAAAGTTAAGTCTGAAAGTTACGTCTAGTTGAGGATACAACACACTCTGTGCATTGACAACCAACTGTTGTATCCTCAAGCAGTGCAGAGTGTGTTGCCCTACAGTGGAGCCAACCCTGTGCTGCTCTGGAATCAGAGAGGGAGAGCAAGTCCTTTCCTAGAGAAAGTGACTCTGAAGCTGATTCTTTAAAATGAGATAAACAAATATAATACCATTCTCTTCTGCACAAAAAGAATGATACATGTAGCAGCAATGGGTATCAGATACTGTGTGCCAAGTGAAAGATGCCAGATGCAAAAAGCAGATCTTTTATGACTCCATTCATAAGACAGTCTATAAAAAGCAAAATTACAAAGACAAAGAACAGACATAGATGCAAAGAGTGCTACAGTGAAGAGGCCGGTTGCCAGCACAGGCGCTATGGCAGGGCGAGCTGGGAAGTGGCAATGGTTATGGTGGTTGCATGACTGAACACATGTCCAAAGGGAAAATCTTGTACAAAATTTATATACCAGTTAGCAGAGTGAAGAAATTATGAAAGTGTTTTATGCAGAGGGAAGGACAGGGATCTAGAGATGGCTCTGTCTATGCAGAGAGGCCAGAAGAGATGGCTGAAGGGGAGATGCAAGGAAGGAGATGGGAGATGTGGGAAAAACGGTAGACAGGGACGCGCCAAGGAACCGGAACTCCAACTTGAAACAAACGGATAATTACTAGACAAGAGGCTGGCAAGAATGTAATTCTTTTTAAAGTACATTTGTGGTACTGATGTTTCTGTTTTGAGAATCTTTTCTCTTTTTTATTTTTCTGTTACTAAAGGAACACTTATTTAATAAAATTGAAACACCAGAGATGTACATAGCACAAGATATACCACTGTAATTTTAACTCCTTCCAAAATTGCACAACCAGCTTTGATAACTCAGTATATATGTTTCCAAATTTTCATCTACTATCTATATATGTGGTTTAATAAACTCCTTGGATTTTCTCATGACTTTTACAATATCAAACCCACCAAGATAAGAGAAAGGATTATAGCAAAATTGACTTTAACACAAGATGGGCCTTATCCTTCGTTTTTGTTAATTTTTAAATATCTTTTTCTGAGGCAGCCTACTCTCTCTAATATGGACTTTCAAAGAGTTTATGGTAGAAAAAAATCTACTTGGAACATTCTATTAAGTCATCTGACAGCTCATCAAGCATGATAAGAAAAATGTGTCTGAAAACTGACAACTTGACAGATAAGAAGCCAGACTTTTCTTTTAGATACATACTCATAATGTCTGGACAGTTATATATTTCTCTGGCTATTTATGTATGAAATATTCAGGATATATTATATGTATTTATTTGTGTATAGAATATATTTAAATAATATGTGCAAATATAAACACAAATGTATGATAGATAAATAGATGATAGATAAAAGATAGATGATGATATATAGATGATAGAAGATAGATGATAGATAGATAGATAGATAGATAGATAGATAGATAGATAGATAGATAGATAGATGATAGATAGATATCACACTTATGATTTTCTAGAAGGCCGCCAGATTTACTTTTGTTTATAATAAAAATGAACTCTGGACATGAACATTGTTTAGTGTTTTACCCTGAAGAGTAAAATATCATTTTATGCAATCTCTTTCCAAAACATGTTTTTGTCAGATGATCTGCCAATTTGGACTTTCTATAAGTCTTGGAGTTTGGTCGCGAACATTCTAGAGTGTCAGGGTCAGATAAACATGGGCATGAATTCCCAGCTTGACTCTCACTAGTGATGTGGGCTTTGCTGCCTGAAGCCTACAGATGATCTGTAAATTGATTCATGGCTCTGAAGAAGGTTGTTACGACAGTATGAGGTAAAGAGAATGCATTAAACACATCCCTGGCACTTGGTGGGTGCTTGGTAATTGACAGTTTCTTTACACACTTAGATTTTTTTCCAAAAACCCTTTCACTTCAGTTTTCACAGGAATATCACAGAATAGAAGCTATTGCACAGCATTCCTGTCTGGGTGGTGAGTCTGAGACAGCTCATCTGTGGCATGAGAATTTCCTATATCTTTCATGCCATGATTTTCCTATCTGCTGGAAAGCTATGACATCTACTTGTCCTGTATGGTCAAGGTTTTATTGTGAGGTTCAAAGTGGAAAGATAAGAAGCAGCTTGTTGAACACAGAGCAGGTTACTTGGAAGTATCAACTGCCACTACCACTGTTAAGTGACAGTCTTGCACCCTGTTATGCCTTAAAGACGAGTGGATTCCTTTAGTCCTTATCACATATATGGAACTGAAACTCACTTACCCGTGGTTTTAAGATGCTATACCACCAGGCCACAAGACTAATATATTTGACTGGGATACAGATGTCCAATTCTTAGACCAAAGCATTTTCTTCTCAACCACTCTCCCAAAGCCTTAGGGAAGAAGCTGTAAACCCAGGCTTGGTAGCACCAGATTCCCACCAGCCCAAGTTACTCACACCAGGCCCTGCCCCAAGTGACCATTCACACATGTAATCAGCAGTACTTACCTATAGATTCAGTGTCCTACTGAATCGGAGCAAGAGATTAGAACATTGATACTCAAAGTCTCCTTCTCAGATGAAAAATATTAATCTGAAAAAATTAAAATTTTAAGTTAACATACCAACGTAATGGATTTCATTATGGAATATATATATATATATATATATATACATATATATATCACTATAGTCTAATATTCTAATTACACTCTCTTCTAATCCAGCCCTCTCTCCCACTGTCCTCCATGTCCTCCCTTCTCCCTTCTCCCTTGCTGTCCTCTTCTTCCTATCAGTTAATCCCCACACATCATATGACACACATGTTCCATTACCCTTCCTTACTCCCCTCCCTCTCCTTTTAAGTTTCTTCCTCCCCTCCCTGTCCCCTTTCTAGTGTCATGTTCGACAAATATATTTATAAACTTAAATCTAGATTTTAAAAATGTGATAAATATGCAAAATGGAATTCTAGTGTAAATAAGAATGAATTGGGACATTTTCAGGAGTGTGGATGGAGCTGGAGACCATTATGTTAAGGGAAATAAGCCATGCAAATAGAGACCAATTACTGTATGTTTTCTCTCAAACACAGAATCTAGATTTTAAAACCAAGAAATTTTAGCTCATGAGTTTGAGATGAGAAAACATTAACAAAGACAAGAGCACTGTGGTGATGTTTCTATGATGCTGAATTTATTTAGGTGTTTTCTTCACTCTTAGAATGTATCTTTGGGACCTAGAGAGGTGGCTTGGCGGTTAAGAGCACTTACTGTGCTTATAGAGGACCCAAGTTTGAATCCCAGCACCCACGTGGCAGCTAACAATCATCCATAACTCCAGGTTCAGGGGATCCCATGCCTTCTTCTGGCCTCTGTGGCATTGCTGATACAGGTGCACTTACGGGTATGCAGGTGTAACACTCATACACATACAATAAAAATGCTTCTTCTAATCATGTGGTTATTAAATTTAAAAATACATTTTTTTTGTCTTTTTGAGACAGGGTCTCTCTGTAGCCCCACCTGTCCTGGAACTCACTATGTAGACCAGGCTGGCCTTGAACTCACAGAGATCCACCTGCCTCTGCCTTCCAAGTGCTGGGATTAAAGGCGTGCACCACCACACCCAGCTCTAAAAATACATTTTAAAAACATTTTTAAAAAGAATGCATCTTTGTAGTTTTGGAGTGTTAAAAAATATTTGATTTTTAAAAATAATGGGACTAGTAGATAACATTTCTCTCTTCCTCCTCCTCCTGCTCCTCCTGCTCCTCCTCTTCTTCCTCCTCCTCATCCTCTTTCTCCTCCTCCTGCTCCTCCTCTTCTTCTTCCTCCTCCTCCTTCTCTTCCTGCTCCTCCTCTTTCTCCATCTTCTTGCCCTTCATCTTCTTTTGGAGTTTTTGAACCATTTTTTTAATTTTTATTTATTATTTTTATTTTATGTGTATGCATGTATTGCCTGCATGTCGTTCAATGCCCGCAGAGGTCAAAAGAGGCTGTCGGATCCCCTGGGACTAGAGTTACGGACAGTTGTTAGCTGTCATGTGGGTGCTGGGATTCAAACCTGGGTCTTCCACAAGAACAACTAGTGTTCTTAACCACAGAGCCATCTCTCCAGCCCTGAGTTTTTGAATCATATGTAGCCCAGGCTCGCCTCAAACTCACCATGTAGCTGAGTTCGACCTTGAACTTCTGTTCTTCCAACTCTGCCTCTTGTACACTGGAATTACAGATGTGTGCCTCCACGCCTGGGTGATTGTATCCTCATTTTGGGTTTTTTTTACTTCGTTGGTGGATTTTTCATACTGACAATTTTTTAAAAATTGTATCTTATGACAATTCCTTAGGCCCTCTATTTCTTTTAGTCCTAGGAACACCACAAACTTAGGCATCAGTGGACAGGATTCTAAGCCTCATAGAGCAGTAGCAGATGTTTTAGAAGAAACTGAATACCCTAAGCTTCCCTTACTGATCGGATCTCATCATTAGCTCTCTTGGGAAAAAAAAAAACACTTAATTGAAGCCCTGAAGAACCCCCAGGCTCCTAAAGTAATCATGGAGTCTTTGTGCATGCCATGCAGTCCTACAAAGTGCCTCTGTGCCCATTCGGGAAGTTGGCAAGGTCCTGAAAATCTGACTTGAGGCAGAGACTCTCTGGAGCCAGTTTCATTTCTCTTTTCTCTGCCTGTTAGTTTTTATCAGGAGGGTGAGTTCATCAATTTGTTACCCAGACTCTCAATAAGATTAGGAAGTCAGCACAAGGCTTTACAGCTTGGTACTTCAAGGAAATGCACTGCCCTTGTGCTGCCCTTGCAGTGCGCCCCTTTTAATTCACAGCTCCCCTCTCCAGTCCTGAGACTCTGCTTTTCAACTAGAGCCCCTACCCATGAAGCTAGAGTAATGGGTCCCCATGACTCAGCTCCAGATGACACAGAGGCTATGTAATTCCGACCATTCAACCAAAGAAGCAATGTTAGCTTTCCCTCACTATAACTCAATACTTGAAGTAATTACGTTATAAAGAAAAGATTTTGGCTCACAGTTTGAGGGTCAAACTGTGATTGGTTGACCCCACTGCTTTGGGAAGTGTGGTGAGATAACACAACACGGCAGGGAGCTCATGTGGAACAAGCCACTAACTTCATGGTGGCCAGAAAGCAGAGAGAGGATGCGGTCATAGTGAGGTAGGGTCACACTATTCTCATCAATAGTGCTCCCACCCCAATGACTGTAACCTTCCACTAGATTGCAGCTTTCAATGCCAAGCTCTTAAAGTGTCAAGTTGTGGCTGAGTATAGACTAGCTAGGCCATTGGGGGTGCACTTCAGATCCAAACAGTAGGAGCGCTGGAATGGTGTTTTAAACTCTGAGGGCTCCAGACTCTAAGGCACAGAGACCTGGCCCTGCTTGCATCTTGCCCCAGGCATCCTTAAGAACTGGTCCTCAGGCTCACACATCTCTTTCCCTCCACTCTGTTCCTTCCAGGAGCATCATTGCCTTCGCATTAAAATCCTAGGGGACTGCTACTACTGCGTCTCTGGACTGCCTGAGCCCCGCCAGGACCATGCCCACTGCTGTGTTGAAATGGGCCTCAGCATGATCAAAACCATCAGGTAATTTGCAATCTTGTCCATGGTACCTGAGACCTCAATGTGTGTGATGAGAAAGATACATGGCCCAATCTCTCCTTAGCAGGAATTTGTTGTGTGTGATGAAAGGTAAAGATGTTGTCTTATTTCACAAAAAATACATATTCACGCATTCTCCTGTGTAAAATAATGGCTCTCAGATTCCTTGTTGTGTGATTTTACTTCACTTATGGTTACTTGTGTAGCAAGTTTGTATTACAAATATCCTTGTGGGGAGGAATATAGTGAGGAACAGAAGATGGACATAGTCCTCTTTAGAGAAATGTAGCTGTGTGGGAAAGATAGTGCATAACAATTTCAATGCAGCAAAATAACTAAGTTCTCCAACAAGTAAAATCCACATGCCTAGAAGGTTAAGAGAGGGAACACCCAATTTAATGCACCTTCTTAGAAGTGTTGAGAGCAGAGATGTCTAAACTGTCCCTTGAAATGTATTCTTTTCATTTTAGTTTTATGTGTTTTTTCAGTGAATATTTTTATTGAATTTTTGTGCATTTCATACAACACATCTTCATCATCTTTATACCCCCTCCCCCATCTGCAGTCCCCATAGCTCCCCACCATATTTCATGCATTCTGTTATATATGGTAAGGCCTATCAAGTCAAGTTTGTGTACCCAGATGTCCCTCTGTGTGAGTTCATCCACTGGAGCCTGGTCAGCCTATCTAGCGTCACTCCCTTAAAGAAGATCAACTCTCCCTCAGCGAATAGTGATCAGCTGCCAATAGTTCCTAAGCTAAGGTTGTGGCCTCCTGCCCATTTCCCCAGTTCTGTGCTGGGCTTTTGTCTGACTGAGTCTGCATGGGTTTCATGCATGCTGATACCATCGCTGTAAGTTCATATGAGCAAGTTTCCAGAGGCCTGGAAGACTCTGTTTCTTTATAACTGTACGCCAACCCTGGCTCTTACAATCTTTCTGCCCCCTCTTCTTCAGTGGTCCCTGAGCCCTGGGTAGGTGAGGTTTAATACAGGAGACTTATCCAGGAACCCAATCTGCAGTCTCTACACATTGGCCAGTTGTGGCCTTCTGTGTGCATTGCACTCTGTTGTATGAGGAAGCTTCACTGGTGGGAGTTGAGAGATGCATTAGTGTTTTCTCTACCCACTGCTCCACTATGTTCCATGAATTTTAGGTGTAACGGTTCCTTTGCAGATGTGTCACTTAGGGATGGGCATCTCTCAGACACTTGTTCTCTGTGTACAACCAGTTATGGAACTCTGTAATAGCCTCCATCCACTGCAAAAAGAATCTTTTTTATGAGTGGTGAATGGTAAACTTGTCTGTAAATATAAGGATCCATGTTTAAGCATACAATAAGACATTACATTTGTCTAGGGATATGATGAATGTAGGGTTTTCTCTAGGATCTATGACCTCTCCAGCCACGTGTATTTGGTTATGTTTATAGTGCCATGCATGAGTTCCCGCCCATGGAGAGAGGTTTAGTTCAATTAGGTAGCTGTTGATTACCCCAAAGATAAAAGTGATACTACTACAGTGCTATCGTTTGTTGTGTGGAAGAGGGAGGTTAGACAGGGAGAGACAAAGAGAGGGGGGAGAGATAAATAAAGTTTAGATGGTGTGAAAAACCAGAGGGGAACGTGTTAGATCAAAAACCTACTGAAAAATGCACATACGATAACTGAACCTGAGTGCAGGTAGGTACCTGAAATCTACATAACAAGAGGCATGGTACCAGACAGGAGAAACCTCCCTTTGAGTTGTTGATCAGAGTAGTGCATGAGATTCCCAAAATAACATGGGTTATTGCCACAGCCCTTGATTACTGCCCAGAACTTGAAGGTAAGGCCCTATTGGCTAAGATAGGACATACTTTGGACACAGGACTTAGAGCAATGGAGCTGGAACTGACCTGGAAGCCTCCTCCCTGAAGAATAGCTTCATAATTCTGGAGAAAATGTAATCTTAAAAAAAAAATACATGGACCGAGCATGGTGGTCTATGCCTTCAATCCCAGTACTCAGGAAGCAGAGGCAGGTGGATCTCTGTAAAATCAAGGCCAGCCTGGTGTACATGAGTTTTAGGCTAGCTGGGGCTACAGAGAGACTCTGTTTCAAAACAAACAATTTAAACAAATAATACAATTTGCATATTAAATAACACTATAATAGAATTATTTGCTATAGTTTTAAAAGAAGAAAAAGGGAAATTCTGAGGCTACAAAAAATGTAATAGAAATAATCACCTATTTCTAAGTGAGTCAATGCAAAAATCGTATTCAGTAGCTACCATGTCTAATTCCTGTTGCACTAATTGTCAATGGAATTAAAAAGAAGACAAAACTTCCACAATCACTGCCTCAAACGGACAACATGTTGGATTGTTGTGGATGCAGAAACGGGTCTGGTCACTTCAATATGCAGAAGGTTGAATCCACATCTCCACCATGAAAAAAAGACCGCCATTTTTATAATGACCATTTCTTGTTCAACTTTTTAAACATTATAGTATATCCACCCATGCATTTGTTTACATACGTAAATGTATACATTAGAGACTAGGACATACTTATGTGGAAGAATATGTTTTTTTGTTTTTGTTTTGTTTTTTACTTTCTAAAATTGTATGACCTCAATATTATACCTTTAGCTCTATCCATTTTTTCTATGGATTTTTTTTTAATTTTCCTTTAGAGTGAATACTATTCATATATATCTATATATCTACATATAGATATATAGCTATGCCAAATTTTCATTCTCCTTGTTAAAGTTAATAGAGTAGCAAAAATCATGGGGTTATACATATCTCTGTAGAGCTATCAGCTTCTCTGTGTTGATGCCCAGTAGTGAGATAGTTGGATCATTTGGCAGCAGTGAATAAGGGTTCCTCTTTCTCTACATCCTCTTCAACATTTTTGTCATATTTCTTGATGGCAGCTATTCTGACTGAAGTATTTCAAAATAGTTTTAATTTGCATTTCCCTGGTGACTAGGGATGTTTAACACTTTAAAATATTTGCCATTTGTATTTCTTTTCCTAAAACCTATCAATTCAATTAAGTAGTTCACTTCTTGCTTGGTAATTTTATTTCCTTGGTATTTAATTTTTGCAGTTCTTTGTATATTCTGGATATTAGTTTTGCCTGATATATGGCTGGTGAAGATTTCCTCCCATTCTGTGGACTCTGTGTGTTCTACTGATGTTTTCTTTTGCTGCACAGAAACTTTAATTTCATACAGTCCTATCTGTTGCTACTTGGGGCTAATTCTTGTGCTATTGGTGTTCTATTTAGAAAGTTCTTCTTTTCTACTCCACTGACTGAAGATTATTCCCTATATTTTTATCTAGAAGTTTCAGGTTTTAAGTTAATGTTTCTGATGCATTTCAATTTGACTCTTTTTCAATGTATACTTTTTACTAAATTTTTGTGCATTTTTTCAATACATTTTAAAAATATCTAAACCCGTTCCCCCACCCCACCCCCACTGGATTTCATGCATTCCATCACATATGCTAAGGCCTTTAAAGTCAAGTTTGTTTACCCAGATGTCACTCAGTGTGAGTTCATCCACTGGAGCCTGTTCGGCCTATCTAGCGGTCACTCCCTTAAAGAAGATCAAGTCTCCCTCACGAAGCAGTGATCAGCTGCCAATAGTTCCTCAGCTTAGGTTGAGGTCTCCGGCCTATTTTCCCAGTTCCATGTGGGTTTTTGTCTGGTTGAGTTTGTGTGGGTCTTCTGGATGCTGATACCATTGCTGTATGTTCATATGAGCAAGTTTTTAGAGGCCTGGAAGACTGTTTCCTTATGGTCATTCACCGTCCCTGGCTCTTAGAATTTTTCTGGCCCTGTGTATACAATTTCATTTTTCTGAAGGTAGAAATTCAGTTTTGCCCACTCCATTTATTGAACACCTCCTTTCCAATGTACGTGTTTGCCTCCTTTATTGAGAATGGGGTGAGCATTGCTTTGTGGGCTTATTTCTGGGTTCTCTGTTCCATTAGTCTACCTGCTTGTTTATGCCAATTCCAAGCTGTCTTCATCACTATGGCTCTGGTATAATTTGAAGTCAGGTATTGTTATGACTTCATAAAGGTATTCAAAATAATCAGCAACGGGATTCTGGAGGCAGAATGAGGAGTTTTGAAAAAGGGATGGGCATGAACACACATCAGGATGTGCTAAACCTGTACTGGGAGGCCTGAAATGAAAGAGTAGAGACAGATGGACCATCAGCTGATAGCAGCCAGAACCCACAGGGCTTTATCAGCCATGCTGGGGGATTTCACTTTATCTTCATGTCAAGTAGGTTGGCTTCTCGTGTGCTGCAAGTGGTTTTGACCTCAGTCAACACACCTTGCAAGTAGGACTCTAATCAGGGGAAGAAACTGAGGGGTGTGAGGATTCTAGAATTAAAATGAATGACTTTGGGGCAAAACCCTCAGCCTTGTGAGAACTTCTTGTCAGGAAGCCAAGATGATTACAGAACTTCCGAGGAATACATAGTCACACAGCCATGGCGGGGGGCAGGGGAGACTGTGTGTGTGTTTGAGAGTGAGAGAGAGAAAGAGACTGCGTGTGTGTTTGAGAGAGAGAGAAAAAGAGAGACTGTGTGTGTTTGAGAGACTGTGAGATAGAGACTGTTTCAGAGAGGGAGAGACTGTGTGTGTTTGAGAGAGAGAGAAGAAGAGACTGTGTTTGAGAGAAAGAGAGAGACTGTGTGTGTTTGAGAGAGAGACAAGACTGTATGTTTGAGAAGGAGACTGTGTTTGAGAGAGAGACTGTGTGTGTTTGAGAGAGAGAGACTGTATATGCGTTTGAGAGAGAGAGACTGTGTGTTTGAGAGAAAGAGACTGTGTGAGAGAGAGACTGTGTATTTGAGAAAGAGAGAGAGACTGTGTGTTTGAGAGAGAGAGAGAGAGAGAAAGACTGTTTCTGTATGTGTGTGTGTTTGTGTCTGTTTAACACCCCAAAGCCCATCAGACTTAATTTTTCTGAAG